GGAGCAAAAAATCTTGATTTAAGGTGAGCACCGTCCCAGGGCCGGGTAGTCAGTGAGCGGTTATAAGATCCAGTTGGCCGTCATCGTCAGTAAATACACATCTGTTCTTACAGGAATGTTCAATAGTCAGGCCTGTTGGCTTGAAAGATGGAGCAACAAGGGTTTCCCTTTGGGTTTGTTCAGGAAGAACCTGGTTGTCCTGTTGGTTCTCACATATCATGTCATTATTCCCATCCGATGCTTGTTGGAAGGAGTCCAGCTGAAGACAGGTCTCTTTGGATTCAATAAGTTTGATTCTTAAAGCTTCTAATCTATCAGTGATGGCCACTTGCTCAAGAGGAGGTAAAAATTTAAAGGACTGTAAAAGGTTCTCCTCCACAGTATTATCCAAATAAGAGGGGTCATGAGGGTGTGATTCTGAAGAGATTGAAACGTTTACAAGATTCCTGAAAGGGAGGTCATGGGTTAAGTTCTTGTCCAGCAGAGGATCACTACATAAACGCACTTTACGAAGCAGGGGAGAGACAAGGAGATTGATGAATACTCGTGTCAAAGCTATGCCCCAATGAAATAGCTGCTTCCTTTGCTTCAATATCAGGCCTGGGAGTGTAGGGGATTTAAAAGTAACCAGCATTTTTTGAAGCTGAGAGCATCCATTCAGAAATTCAACAGTTGTCATCTCCGATGGCAATACTTTAGTCCTAAGAAAAAAGGGCAGATGTCTGCTAATATCCTCCTTAGTTCTCCAGGGGATGCAGTGGCCATTAAACAGAAAGACTGTAAAGCACAAACGGTTCTGTTGGAGAACAAGCTTCTGCATGGCGTGAGAGCAAGAGATCACAGCAGGAGACAGTTTGGTGTGTGCGCGAGTCTTTGCCTTTAAATCAGCTGCATTGTGACAACTGGGAGAGGGAGGTGAAGGATTTGGCGAAGGTTTCCCGTTAATTAAATTATCAATCTTTGCAGAGATGAAATTACTATATGAAATTATATCTTTCAATTGGTTAGAAATTAGTTCAACAGTTCTAGCCATTAGCGTGGCAAAGTTTGTCAGGCACAGACACTCCCGGTTGTGTGATATTCATTTGCCTTTCTTGTCCCTGGGTCGGTGAATAGTTTCCTTTCTTTTCCGACAGCAATAATGAGTCCGGGCTGTTTTCCAAGGGTGCAAACTGATTTGAGACTGGAACATTATACGATATAGTAGTTACATCCTTTTCTTTGGAGAAATAATCATTCATCTTGGTTTGTTTGCTTACCGGAGGTTGAAACGCTTCGTCACACCCCTCCCCCTCCCCTTCTCCAGCTCTGCTTCTCTTTCTGGAGGTCATTGCAGATTTCGAAGTTAAAACAGCCAGTCAGTAACCAATTAGGACAGTTTTAAAAAGAATAAAACTTTAAAAAAGAATAACTTTGCAGAGAAGAGGAACGTGCAGCAGCAGCCGCCGCCCCTCACACCGGAAGCAGTCACCCCACCATTTAGTGATACCAGGCCCTAGGGAGGCCCGGCTTGCTGCAACCAGGGCTAGGGCCTATTCAGTGGTGGCTCCTACCTGGTGGAATGAGCTCCTGGAGGCGATCAGTGCCGTGCAGGACCTTGTACAGTTCTACAGGGCCTGCAAGACAGAGCTCCTCCACCAGGCTTTTGACTAGCAGCCACCACTACTACCACCACCAATGAACCCGGCTGATAACTGGGAACAGAGCAGCCCTATGATGATCACACTTCAGTGTCGTGGTGGATCAGTACTGTGGTACTGGAATGGAGGTAACATCTACTCGATACCATCTTGTTTAGATTTAAGAGTAACAGCATTGAGCACTTTATGTAAGGTTTGGTTATTTATTCTGTTTTATCCAGTTTTAATTGGTTTTATGTATTGGCACATGGTGCCCCATTTGTTAGCCGCCCTGAGCTCATTCGTGGGGAGGGCGGGGTAGAAATGTAAATAAATAAAATAAATAAATAATAATAAATAAATATCTCCTTCCCAACCAAGCATCAATCTGCCATTATCTGCCCCTCTGATTTCAGTTTTCCATCTCCTCCCCCCTCCCTCCTGGAGATCAGTTGTAATTCTGAGTATTTTCCACCCCTCTCCTGAGATTGGCAACAGAGGAAATGACTGGTTGGGAGTATGGAGTCTATGGCACTGTACCTGTTTAATGTCTCACCCCTCCTCAAACCTCACCCTCCTCAGGTTCCATCCCTCAGATCTCCAGGAATTTCCCACCTGGAGTTGGCAACCCTATTACCTTTCCAGCCAATTATCAATCTACCTTTATTTCCCCCTCACTTTTCAGCTTTCCATTTCTTCACACACACACACACACACACACACACACACACACACACACACACCGGCAGCCTCTTCCATGCTCTGAAGCCCTGACTGCCACAGGGTCCACCATTTTCTGTGCTCTGAAGCCCTGACTGCCATAGACTCCACCATTTTTTCCAGGGGAACTGATCTCTGCCAACTGGAGAGCAGTTGTAATTCTGAGTGATCTCCAGCCCTCACCTGGAGATTGGCAACAATGGTTTCCCAGGAGGAAAAGTAGTCTTTTTCTGCAATGGGGACCAAAGGAGCTTACATCATTCTCCTCTCCCCCTTTTGACTTCAGCCTCCCTCTGTTGCCGAAGAGAGCAGGGAAATTTCCATTCATTCCCCAGTTCAGCCGACTGTGTAGTGGCTGAATTTCTGCTGCCTCCCAGGGACAAAGACTGCCTCCTCTCTGGATGGGGTGCAGTCTATATTGATGCCGCCTTGCCTGCTGGGACAGTCCCTCTTTTCCCACACTTTTTTGCCTTGGGGCAGCTGGGAACTGTAGGCCAGCAGATTAATTATACCCCTGCAGGCCCCTCTCTGGAACTACAGATCAATTAAACCTTATGGGGAAACATATTAAACAAAGAACCACAGCCATCTTACAAACACAGCTAACTGCTATTTCGTTACACCTACCAACAACCACTGAGGGGAAAGTTAGTTACACACAGGAGGCAAGCATGAAAAGCGTCTTCATCCAGAGAGAAAGACATTTGCCAGTAATTCTGACAGGGCACAGCCCTCAGCCAATGGCACGCAAGTACTCTGGAGTGGCAGCTGATGGGCCAATGGCTGAAGAAGTGCTGGGACACTGCCACTCAAAAACAGATTTATAGATAAGGAGAGATGTCAAAAACCAATCATGACAACAGCTCTGTGAAGGATGACACTATGGTGAGTCCCAGATTTTAATTTGGTGGAAGAGGAATGGAGGAGCAAGATTAAAAGCAGTGAGTTAAAGAGGATGTGGGATTTGAACCAAGCACTAGATATGAGAGGTTCATACCCTGAAACAAATAAGATGCTACCGGACTCCTGTTCTTTTCTTCTACTAGGGCCAGACAAACACAATGACCCACCTTGAACCCAAGACTGGCCAGCTCACATTCCTATCAACTACTCTACAGCAGCCCAGACACTGTGGGAAAAAGTTGTTGCATTTTGCCAACCATTTCCAAGCACAAATGGAACTACACCAGGCAGGCGTGTGCAAAGCAATTGCCAAGTCCCAGGATCCTTTACATGCCCGCAAACGTTTTCCTTTATCTGGGAAGGATTTGATCATACCCCATGCCTGTGTTGAAACCCAGCTCAGACAAGGGTTAAAAATTGTGTCGCTAGAGCTTTCTGATTAATCTGATCTTCTAGGAATCGGCAGGTGAACTTGGTGAGCCTTTTCTTTAGGTATCACCTCATTTTCAGGAGTGTATAGACACCCTTCGTAGATTTGGTGAGTATGAGAAGCCCTGCATGATGTGCTTCAGGTGTGTAACTGTGTTACTGTAGGGGAAAAAAAGTCTAATATCAGTTTAGAGACTATTTTTTTCCCTTTCATGAGTCAAAGGTGACTTTCTCTCTCTGAACAATATTTCCTACTTTATTTCAAATATAGGATACCTAAAAGAAATAGGCTGGGACACATCAAGAGAAACTTTAGAAATTGATTGAATTACCTCAAGTGTTAAATAACGTCACACTAATCGATTCCTGTGTCCGCTTGTGTGTTTTGGGGACTGAATTTTAGTAGGTTGGGAAGCTGAGCTGTTGTGTCAACATTGAAAAGGTGGATCTCGTGGAAGGGTTCTGATTGTGAGAGCCAGTTTGGTGTAGTGGTTAAGAGTGGAAGGACTCTAATGTGGAGAATTGGGTTTGATCTCCCGCTCCTCCACATGAAGCCAGCTGGGTGACTTTGGGTTAGTCACAGTTCTCTCAGAGCTCTCTCAGCTCCAGAGGTCATTTCGGGGGGGATCGTGGGGGATCACAGTTCCCCCGGGGGCGGGGTGGGGGGTGGGGCACATGACGAAGCCCCGCCCCCTGCTTCCAGCCACCCTGCTTCCAGCCCTCATTCAGCCAGGAGGAGGCAGGAGAAGAGGGAGGTAAGTTGCTTCCTCCCTGCCTCTCCCCACCCCTGCCTGCCTGGGGCCAGGGAGGGCCTTGGCGGGGCTTCCTCGCCCTCCCGCCGGCCTTGCAGGTCCACTGCCGGGCCTTATGATGTCAGGGGGTGTGGCATATGCTAATGAGTTATGCTAATGAGTTCCCCTAGCTCTTTATCTACAAAATGACCCCTGCTCAGCCCCACTTACCTCACAGAGTGGTGGGGAGAAGAAAGAAAGGTGATTCTAAGCCACTCTAAGACACCTTCAGGTAGTGAAGGGAGGGATATAAAACCAACTCTTCTTACTCTTCTTCTTCTTCCTCCTCCTCTTCCTAATCTTCTGCTCCTGGACCTATACCTTGATTCACTCTCTTCTCTGTGCAGCCTTGCCTCTCTTCCACTTTGTGCAAGGAAAATTTTTCTTCTGCCAAACATTGACTCCTCCAGAACAAGATTTCTCATACAAATAAAGGACCTGTGATTGTATTCAATCTTGAAATCCTCCGAAAGCCTGTGAGACACTGCAATGATTAGATGGAAGCTCCATTTTTGGAACTGCTAATGAGGTTGGTTAGATGAGTAATAGTGCTGACATCTCTTTGAAGGATCTGTCTCGTGAGTCAATGTCTCCCCTTGCTATGCCTCCTATGCCACGGATTATGAAGCTGTGAGGTCCCAGGGAAGCTGGAAAAGGAGAAGGCTTCTAATTATTCCAGAACATCAGAAATAACACTATTCACTGACTGAGGGTTTCATATATTTTTGAGAGGAACTTGATTTGAATGACAGTCTGTGATCTGAATCACATTCTGACTGCAGGTACTTAATGCAATATTTTCACCTGCAGAATAATATGCAGATGACCACTCTCTATGCTTTTTTCTGGGGAGTAGTGGTATAGTGCCTCTGACCGTGGAGGCTCAATAAGAAACTGTTGAGGCTGTCACTCAGCAGTGATATCAAACTGTCATCTCCCCAATGATCACAGAAGCACCTGGATGAATGTATAGAATGTCAGTCAGTTAATGATGAATAAAAACGAAAGACTGCTAGCTCTCAGAATCAATAGGGGTGCATCCAACGTGTTCTCAAATGTCAGAATGCATCAGTTGGTCAATGAGCAATTGCTCATCTCGCCAAACTATCTACACATGTGTGAAGCATATGGGATAGCTGCTTTATGTGGATTAGATTTAGGGAAAGTGATGAGATAGATGTTAGAATTTCTGATGACCATTGAAAGGGTCAAAAATCCTACCAGGAAAAGAGGCATCCATACGTCCAAGTCCCTCATCCTGCCTCCCTGGAGTTGATCACAGCATCATGGCTCAGATATCTCCAGAATATTCTTGTTCTCCTTGAAATCTGCTTAGACCACCAGGGTGAAAATACCCGTACATTTACAAAAAAGGGAGGGGCTCATGACTTCTGTGCCCTATCACGGGTCACTGTGGTATAGTGGTGAGAGTTACTATGAACCAGGACACCCAGATCTGAATCCCCAATCTGTCATGATAGATTGCTTCTTAATATCGAGGTCCACATGTCTAAAGATCAGTATGAATGACTGAATGTTCCCCCCTAAAAAGATATGTGCATACTCATACACAAACAACCATATACATGTTGTACCGGGTGTTGTCTTTCTGGATCAGCAGCCAACTCAAGATGCCCCTGTCTTCATTCGAAGTGGCCATGCAAACTATGGCCTCTGTTTTCGGTGACTACCTGGAGGAAAAGAAGAGTGTTCCCATGATTACTAAGGATGGGCTGAATCAGCTGGTGAAAGAGCAGTTCCCACACTGCGAGAAGGTGAGGAGGGATACATTAGCTTTTTGCATTGAAGGAAGTGACTTCCTAAACTGGGCTGGTTGGTGGGGGTGGATGGAAGGAGAAGGATGAAGATGGCAGATGGATATCCAGCCATTTGCTACAAAGTTCTGCAGACATTGGACCAGAGGCTGGCCAGATGAACAGGCAAGGTCACTGGATGCTGGACTGATTTAGGGGACACTTTTAATCCCTCCCCAGCTGTATCCCCCTCTGAAAAGCTTTAAGGGTAACAGGAGAAAGAGGTTCTTTACAGTGTTATTGTACATGCTTGATGATTCACTGATGTGGGAGGTTCAAACGAGAAGGAATGCTACTGCTACTGTGAAGGTTAACTCTTGTCCTGCCTCTCTGTAGGACAAAAACTTGTCAGAAGGAGAGGAGATTCTTTTATAGGAGCCTCCTCTGATCTTCATTAGCCCAGAGAGTCAATGTAATCTGTCTGTTCAAGGGAAGACCCAAGTGTGCTTTACAGAAAGAGAGGTTAATTCAAAATCACTTGAAAAAGGTATATTAAGAAACTTCTTAGCAGAGTCATCCAACTCTAGCACCATCAGAGTATCCCTGTGAACCCGAGGAGAAACAAGGAACTATCACAGAGTCCTAGCCTAGACTATATACAGTGTTTCTACCCTATTGTGACAGATCTTGGAAGATAAGCAGGGTCATTACTTGGAAAGGAGACCACCGAGGAAGACTCTGCAGAGCAAGACAATGGCAAACCACCTCTACTTCTCATTTGCCTTGAAAGCCCCTTGCCAGGGCCACCATAAGCAGGCTGCAACTTGATGGCACTTGACACACACACATCTCCCCTGTGAAGTGATCAGTGTTAATTGACTGTAGATGACAAACATTTCCCAGTATCAGCTTAATTCGGGAGCGAGAATCATGTGAGTAAATGATGTGTGTGTGTGTGTGTGTGTGTGTGAGAGAGAGAGAGAGAGAGAGAGAGAGAGAGAGAGAGAGAGAGAGAGAGAGATCCCTTAAGTCACAGCCAACTTCTGCTGACCCCGTAGGGTTTTCAAGGCAAGAGGCCAAAGAATGGGGTTTGCCATTGCCTTCATCTGGAATTGTTATCCCAGTATCAGCCAAATTCAGGAGACAGGATTCTGTGAGTCAAGGATGTATGTGTGTGCGTGTGTGTGTGAAGAGCCAATAAGTAACATCCAACTTATGGTGACCCCGTAGGGTTTTCAAGGCAAGAGACTAAAGAAGGGGGCTTGCCATTGCCTTCATCTGGAATTGTTATCCTGGGATTTCTTGGTGGTCCCCATCAAAACACAAACCAGGGCTGACTCTGCTTTGCTTCCAAGATCTGATGACAGCAAGCAAGCATGGGTTATCAAGGTCATGGCAATAAAGAGTATACTTTATTCGTAATTTATTACATGTGTCTAGGTTTCCTACAGGGAGACTGAGAGCCCAAAAGATGTTTCCATTGAAATAAAGAGAAATGCCCTTTGCATCTTTCTTCTTCATAGCATTAGGATAACGTATAACATTAAAAGCTGAAACAATAAGGAAATAAGCAAATACCTTAAGCAGAAGAGTCTCATAAATATATAATGGAGAAAATCTGGGCAATGCATGGCTGTCCTGAATTCACCTTAAAAGCTGAAAAAACTACACTGAGGCTATCATACCGAAGACACGTGTCATTGGAAAACACAATAATGCTTAGAAGAGTTGAAGGCAACAGGAAAAGAGAAAAACCCAACATGAGAATGATTGATTTAATAAAGGAAACCAAGTCTTTAATTCGGAGGGTTGCCAGAAGTCAGAAAAGGCCTGATGGCATTTCTTGCACACATACTCAGAGACACATGCAAACCTTGCTGTCAGACTAGGTGCATTTTAATTCACAGGACGTTGCTTATTTCCATCTTGACAATGTGATTCAGCATCTTCTGGATTTCTCTAACCCTCCTTTAATGTTCCCTATTCACCCACAGGAAGAAATCAGACCAGGAGCTTATCAGATCAGAATCCCAATGGCAGGTACCATAAATGAACTTTCTATAAGAATGCAGTACTTACAAATGGATTGAAGAATACAATAGATAAAATATCCAGACATATAACCACTTTAGAAGGATATAAGAACGTTGGTTTTTAAATATATGCAAAACGTTGATATAAAAATACAGGGTGGAATATAGAAAATAAATAAGTAAGTTATGAGGTATTTAAACAGGCAATTTAATGATCTAATGGGACCCCCCCCATTTTTGTATATATGTTTGTGTGTGTTATGTTTGTCAGTTATAAAATAAAAAATATTTTGATGGGAAAAAAAAGAATGAAAGAGTACTATTGGATTAGACCAGTGGTCCATCTGGTCTTCCATCCAAATGATAAAGAAATTAATCCCTATGCAGAAGAGTTGTCTCACTCATCGGGGTGGGGTTAAAAACTCCCAAAAAGTATCACTTGTAGCTTCAACAGACATATTCCCTCAGCGGCTATTGCTAGGTATCCACAGCATTCCGTTATGTGTTTGAGAAAGTTAAAGGCAGAGGGAGGGGGCAGGGTCCTTTCCAGGGCTGTTTTGGCCTTTAAGGGAGGACTCGTGGGGGCAAGGCCTGGCTAAGGATGCCGGCTCCAGGTTGGGAAATTCCTGGAGATTTCGGGGTGGAGTCTGAGGAGGACGGGATTGGGGAGGGGAGGGGCCTTAGCCACCCTCTAGAGCAGCATTTCCCCCCCCAAGGGCACAGATCTCTGCTGTCTGGAGATCTCTCGTAATTCTGAAAAGTCCAGCAACCTCCAGGTGACGTGACACCACCTGATCTGCTTGACTCAACTAGGAAGCTGGAAAAGGAGAGGGTCTGTGAGGACTTTCAGGGAAGGGAAGGAGGAAATTGTGGGAGAGGGAAAAATGAGATGCATCCCACAATTCTTTGTGGCTTCCCACTTGTTTTATGTATGTATGCAATCTGTGTTCATGTGCGTGTGTGTCTAAGAGTTTGCTTATTTCCATTCTGAAAATCTGCCTCAGTATCATCTGCATTTCTGTTACCATTCTATAACATTCACGTTTCTCTCACAGAGAAGAACCAGCCCAGGAGTTTCTCACAACCAAGTCACACCAGTGGGTAACATAAATGATATGTCTGTAGGAACATAAAGAATTAAAAATGCCCCACTGGGTCAGAGCAGTCGTCCATCTAATCCAGTGGCCTTTTTCACACACTGGCAAACCAGTTGCTCTCGAGGGCCAAACAAACAGGCCATAGATGCTGGTGGCTCCCCACAATGCAGCCTATGACAGTGGCTGGTTTAAGACACAAGGGCCAATTGAAGACATTCCTGAAGACATTCTTCATTTGTTCCTCCTGAAGGGGGACCCAGATGGGTTTATAACCTACTTCCTTCTCCATAAGATTTTTCCTGGATCTTAAAAATTGGCCAAAGTGAATTGATCATTACTACAGAACCAATATAGAGCCCATGTGGATTAATGGACCAGGACCTGGACTCAGCTCAGGCCAAAGGCCCATCCAGTCCAGCACTCTGTATCACACAGTGGCCAGAAATACCAGTGCCATCAGGAGGTCCACCAGTGGGGCCAGGACATTCGAAGACCTCCCACTGTTGACCCTCCAAGCACCAAGAAGACAGAGCATCACTTGCCCCAGAGACACCTTTGGGTAGTGAAGGGCGGGGTATAAATCCAATCTCCTCCTCCTCCTCTTCTTCTTCAGAA